TACAAAGTCTTTCAAAGAACAGCGCTGACATATAACAACTAGTATTGAAATGGAATAACTCTGGCAAGATAAGCATTTCTCATAGATGTATAAAGATGATTTTCCTTTGCCATCCATGCCTCGGGGCATTGGGAAGACAGCAACCACACAGTCAGGCGCATCAAAACTTTGCGGGTAATAATGGCACAGGAAAGTTGGTTGAGAGTATCATTAATATCATTACTGGGAAACTGCGTCTTCTGGATATATATATATATATATATATATATATATATATATATATATATATATATATATATATATATATATATATATATATATATATATATTATATATATATACATACATACATATCCGTATCCATCAATTCAGAAAATCTTCAGATATGAATAGGACATTAGGAATGTAGACAAAAAATGTTATGACAAATTTTTTTTTGAGGAAATGGCGAACTCTCAACTTCTGTCGCGGGGAAATATTCAGTCACTTGAAAAAAAAAAAAAAAAAAAAAAAAAAAAAAAACTCAATTTCTTAGCTAATAATAGTATAATCGGTTCGGCGTCATTGTCCTCAACATATGTAGGCTGCAACGATGTTAACCCCCGATTCTCGTTGACAACAATGCCACTTACCGTTTAATGTTTTTGTACCACTGGCCAGCCTGTGAGTTCGTTCGTGTTCCAAAGTTCATGGTCTAGTATTTCTGTACACTTTCATCCTCCGTGTTGCACCCAAGGGTCAAATAAACATAGAATTCCACTGCAAACTGACCCGAATAAAATTGCGGGTCTGCGAGCTTTTCCCAAGACTGTACACGCAAAAAGTTTTTTTTTCTTTTTTTTATGAATGAGAAAGTCGTGCCAACTGTTTACTCTTGCTTCGTAAGTTTAAGCGATCAGGATTTGTAAAAATATTGCTTCTGTGCGTTGATATTTCAAGTATGTGCTCACTGCGTTCTGAATTTTAAATTGCGTTCTAATCTTGTCCATTTCTGCTGTTTAATTGTAAGTGAGAACATTTTTACGACTCGAAATTGAGATACAAGTAACGGTGATATTAGTTTTTTTTTTTAAAGACTGGCAGTAAGACACACTCTTACTGGTTTAATAATTATACTAATGACAGTGATGATAATGATGCGATGATGATGACGATGATGATGATCACAATGATAATGGAATTAGAATAACAAGAATGACAATTATAAAGATAATGAAGATGAAGATGATAATGAAGATAATAGTGATAATGATAAAGATGATGATTATTCATTAAGATGATGATAAAGATGCTGCTAATACTACTACTACTAATGATAATAATGATGATAATAGTAACAATGATGATAATAACAGTGATGATGTTGATGATGATGATAATAATAATGATATTATTATTATTATTGTTATTATTATCTCTGCTATTATTAATCTTTGTTATTAACATTATAATCATTATTACTGACATAGTAGTATTGTAGTAGTAGTAGTAGTAGTATTGTTATTATTTCCCACATTATTATCATCGTTATCATTGTTATCATCTTTACTATCGCTATTAGTAGTAATGGCAATAGTAGCAGTATCATCATTGTTTTATTCGTATTAGTAGTAGTCGTGGTGGTGGTGAATGTAGCAATAGACTCTCTGACAACAATTTTGATAACAATAACAATTAACAATAAGTTTATCATGATATTCATAAGACTTTCAATAACAACAGTATATAGCATCAGTTATCCATATAATGGTGATAACAGGAATCATGTTATTATTGTGTTTCATTGATATTATTAACGATAACTTTAATGCTATTAATGATGATGATAACGATGATTATGGTAATAACAGCAATTATAATGCTAAAGTTGATAACGCTATTATTTTTTTTTGTCATAACTGTAACAATTATAGCAGTAAGTATTATATGTATTATTGTTGATCTCTCTCTCTCTCTCTCTCTCTCTCTCTCTCTCTCTCTCTCTCTCTCTCTCTCTCTCTCTCTCTCTATATGACACTCACACACGCACGCACACAGATACACACACATACACACACGCACACACACACACGCACTTCTTTTATCTTTCTTTCCCTTCTTTTCTTTCATAAAGTACAAACATCCAGAAAAAAATGTATTTTCTTCTTTTTTCTATCTATCTTTCCCATTTCTTCTTTTTTAAGTACAAACATCCAGAAAAAAAATTCTCATATTCCTCCCTTTTTTCTATTTTTAAGTACAAACATCCAGAAAAAAATATCTCATATTCCTCCCTTTTTTCTATTTTTAAGTACAACCATCCAAAAAAAATAATAAATTCTCATATTCCTCCCTTTTTTCTATTTTTAAGTACAACCATCCAAAAAAAAAATTCTCATTTTCCTCCCTTCCCTCTCTCTCCCTCAGCCTCATCAGACAAGGGTTCCAGCAAGAGCACCACCATAGAGATGTACGCACCATCCTCATACACGGGGACAGTGACGGGAGAAACTCTGTCATCCATATCTGAGAAATCGAGGGAGAGTTATGAGCATGAGGTAAGGGCCCTGTTGGAGGATTTGTTTGTTGGAGGATTTGTTTGTTCGGCTGTTTGGTTGGGATTGGATTTGTTCGTGTGATATATATATATATACATGCACACGTGTGTATTATGTGTGTGTATGTGTATATATATATATATATATATATATATATATATATATATATATATACATACGATGTCGTGTGTGTGGTATATATTTGTGTGGTATATATATATATATATATATATATATGTATATATATATATATATATATATATATATATATATATATACATATGTGTGTGTGTGTGTGTGTGTGTGTGTGTGTGTGTGTGTGTAGTGTGTGTGTGTGTGTGTGTGTGTGTGTGTGTGTGTGTGTGTGTGTGTGTGTGTGTGTGTGTGTGTGTGTGTGTGTGTGTGTTGTGTGTGGTGTGTGTGTGTGTGTGTGTGTGTGTACGTGTGTGCGCGCTTGTGTGTGTGTGTGTGTGTATTTACATACACTTTTGTCATACAATTTGTATTGCAACTGCACAGGCTGTTTCCTTGCTTCTAAAATTCAGCTGATTTTAGTCACGCGAATATTAACGTCACCCGCTTTGTGCAATTGAGGAATTACCGAAACAAGCGACGTAAATCCATGGATTAAACCCTTTTCCTTTTAATTTCTGCAGATTTTTAAGGGATTAAATAACTTTCCTGATTGTCTGATAGAGCCTTTCCAAAAGCAATTGTTCCAAAGTGAACGATGTACCACGAGTGCAGTTTTGGATACCATTCAGAGTTTTAAAGACTGTCATGTTAATTTTATAGACTGTCATATAAAGTTTTATAGACTGTCATGTAAATTTTACCTTATTCTGCATCATGTTCACACCTCTTAATTGCATTTGAATAAATCGTTTTGGGGAAATATTGTTTCGAAAAAAAATCTATATGGCGGGTTTTTTTTTCTTTTTGCTAGTTCTCTTTTGATTTATTTATATTTTTTTCATTTTCATTTTCTTTCCTTTTCCCGATTTCGTATTGAATAAATACATAGGTGTCATTATTTATATTTTTTCATTTTCATTTTCTTTCATTTTCCCGATTTCGTATTGAATAAATACATAGGTGTCATTATTTATTTATATTTTTTTCATTTTCATTTTCTTTCATTTCCCCATTTCGTATTGAATAAATACATAGGTGTCATTATTTATATTTTTTTCATTTTCATTTTCTTTCATTTTCCTCATTTCGTATTGAATAAATACATAGGTGTCATCACACGTCAAGGCTTTCAATGTCACCTCATCAACATTCAACATGCCTTAAACAACCATCACTAACGAGCTACTACTCATACCCTTAATTATTTCAGTCAATACGTACATGACATTTCCTCCTATCAAATACGTACCTTTACCTTCAATGCACCAAAAGGTCAAAACATCAAATGACCTAACTACACGATCTCTTCTTTCATCTCTCAACCTCTCTCTCGTTCCCATTTCATCGCTCTTTTTCAATCATCACGCTTTTCATCACTAAATTCCTCAATTCCCGTCTTCGCTGCAAATTTAAATCATCACAGGTTCTATTTTCGCCCCACTTTTAAGTCATCACACATTATAAACCTCACCATGAGTCTCTCTCTCTCGCTCTCGTTCTCTCTCTCTCTATCTATCTGTCTATCTATTTATCTATCTATCTCTATTCTCTCTTCTCTCTATCTATCTATCTCTTCCGTCTCTTCTCTCTCTTCTCTCTCTCTCTCTCTCTCTCTCTCTGTCTCTCTCTTTCTCTCTCTCTCTCTCTCTCTCTCTCTCTCTCTCTCTCTCTCTCTCTCTCTCTCTCTCTCTCTCTCTCTCTCTCTCTCTCTCTCTCTCTCTCTCTCCTTCTCCCTCCCTCCCTCCTTCTTTTCTCTCCCTCCCTCCTCCCTCACCCCTCACCACGTTCTCCTTTCTCTCCCTCTCCCTCAACCTCCCTCCCTCTCCCTTCCCTCACCCCCTCACCACGTTCTCCCTCCCTCCTTCCTCCCTTCCTCCCTCACCCCCTCACCACGTTCTCCTTTCTCTCCCTCCCTCCTTCCCTTCTCCCTCCCTCCTTCTCCCTTTCTCTCTCACCCCTCACCACGTTCTCCTTTCTCTCCCTCTCCTCCAGGACTCAACCGACGAGTACGAGGCCGAGGCGTCGAGGGCGAACGCCACGAGTACCTACTTGATTGAGCAACTCGAACCTCCCTCCCAGTACGCCACGAGACCCCCTCCCCACATCCTCCCCCCTCCCCCCTCGCACAACGACCTCAATATTGAAGACGGTTATGATGAGATGATCAGGAACCAGTATAACATAGGTAAGTCTGAGGGTTGTGATGATGATGATGATGATAATGATGGTGAGAATAATGGTTGTAATAGTTATGGTGATGATAATGATCGAAATAATTGTATTAGTAATAGTAATGATGATAGTAATGGTAATAATGGTAATGGTCATGGTAATAATGATATCAATGAGGAAATGATTATTATGAAATTGTAATTTGCTGAAGTATTTTAGTTAGTTTTCTCTCTCTTCTCTCTCTCTCTCCTCCTCTATCTATCTATCTATCTATTTATCTATCTATCTCTATCTATCTATCTATCTATCTATCTATCTATCTATCTATCTATCTATCTATCTATCTATCTATCTATCTATCTATCTATCTATCTATCTATCCTTTCCCATGTCCCTCATTCCCTCTCTCTCCTCGCCCTCAGACCCCACCGGCGGCTACGGCACGCTGGGCAGACGGAACCCGGCACCCGACCACTACAACATCAACCCCGCCGACAGCCACTACCCGCCGCCCACCCACCGCTACAACACCTACCAGCCGCCCACCCAGCACATCCTCACCGCCCACAGCCACGCCCAGAACAACGGGTCCCTTCGGCGAAACCCCCCGTCGAAGCTCCACTTCCCGAAGGACTACATCCGCAACGGGTCCATGAACCTCCCCGGGGGCACGGGCGGCGCTGGCACCGTCGGGAGCCAGTACAGCAACAAGCCCCAGTCGCCGACGCGCACCCACGCCCCCATGCTGTCCACCTTCGCCCCCGAACCGCAGCAGATAACGGCCGGCATCCCGCTCGAGCACCGGGGTCACCTGGTGTGATGGGGCTGCGAGTAGGCCCTGGTGCGGTCTCGGAGCTTTTCTCTATCGGAAGGGACTTGGGCTTTTCTTCTGGCCAGAGGGTCGTGAGGCTTCGTTCCGGGTGTTGTTACTAAGCGTCGACGAAGACCCAAGCGCGAGAGGCGTCTGAAAGCGTAGGGATTTTACTCTCGAGTCTTACAGGTAACAGTTCACCTGGCTTTTTTATAATAGACAAGCCACTTAGAAGACTATACCTCCTTGCAGTGACTCTGACTTCCCTTAGTGTCCTTTCGAGAGGCGGTTTTAAGCCCGATCTCAGACACCTTGAACTTCGCTAAGACTTCGATGACACGAAGTACTTCAGAAGCGGTGTTGCTGGGGTGCCGTAATCAAACTGAAGATGCCAAAAATACTTAATAATAACGCCAATGGGGAAAAGCTGTTTGGCGAATGGTGCTGTGTGTGGGTATGTGGAGAAGGTCCTTGGAGAGGCTGTGAGAAGTTAGAGGACTTCTTTGGAAAGGCTTTGAAACGGCTTAACGAATGAGGTTGGAAAATGTGTGTCGTAAAATCGGTTGTGCTGGAATATAGGAAGTGTAGTGCGCGCATATTGGCGAAGGTGTCATTTACTACACATTGTGTGAACGCTACCATGTGTATAAATCCTTGTCAGTTTCAGAAAAATGACTGAAGTGACAGTGATAACATATCATTTGCACAAGGCGATACGAGTGTTGACAGAGTGATGTGAACAAGAGAATCACACAATGATGCTCAATAATGTGATGTAACATTTGTAAGTTTATATATTTTAGGCCTTTATGAAAGTATTTTGCAGGATACAGTGAATTCCCCCTCTCGCGACGGGGACGAAAATTCACACACAATAATTCGATGTGATAATGCCCATTAGAGGATAAGCAAGACTGATATTTTGCCTGCTTTAAACTCCCATGTGATGTGACAATCATGTGATAATGGGGCGTGAAGGTCGGAGCATAAACAGAGGAATGATCCAGGCAAACGGAAGTGCCTTGTAGTGATTTAGTATATCAGTGGTAGACACACCATAGGAAGAAAATAATTTTTCTCCGATTCTAAGGGGAAAATGTCATTTTTTTCCCCCCTGTTTACCTCTCCCTCTCCTGGAGACGGTGAAGGACTCGAGAAAAGTGTGTGTTCTATCATTCATTGCCAAAGCAGCGTACTATGAATGTACGTCTCTATTCTGGGGTACTTTTTTATTTGCTTTTAGAAGTAAATCTTTAGTTTACTTTTAAAGAAGAAAAGAAAAAAAACAAGTTCGAAAGACCATTACCAAAACTAATATTTCCCAAGAATACCGAAGGGCATTGCTTATATCTCATATGAAGACGTATGTATATTAGATGAAGGCAGGAACTCTACGGACATACACTCCAACATTCAGTTACTTTTTTTTTTTTTTTTTTTTTTTTTTTTTTTTTGTTCCCCCTCATTCATTGTTTCAATTTTAGACAAAAAAAAATATATTATCACCAGGAGAACATTCATTAAGTAAGCCCTCCCCCCCCCCACCGCCCCCCCCCCCAAAAAAAGCAATGAACATATACATGTACTTACGAATATATACTTAGTCATCCCAGACAAGCAAGCTATCGTGCCAAAGGAATATTGTCAATCTGTCAATCAATCAATCAATTTGTGTAATGGAACTGACGGGGACGGTTGCTTCAAAGCGCCAGGTGATTTAGTTGTTTTGTTTTATTTCTTTCATTTATCAGTATTATCATTATTATTTTTTATCATATTTTTTCTGAAATTATGATCTTCCTGTGTTTACAAATTCTTATACTCGAAGATATTTGTTTGATGATAATAGTTGACTTTAGTATTAATAGTTATTGTTACATTGTCATTTTATTCATTGGTACTGCTTCATATTTTTTTTATTTATAATTGTCAATATTATTCTTATCATTATTATTATATCATTATTACTATTATCATTATTATTATTATTACTATTACCATTATTATTATTATTATTATTATTACTATTACTGTTATTATTATCATTATAATAATTATATCATTATTATCACCACCATTATCATTGACGTGGTTAGCAATAATGACGACGATATCATTACTATAGTTCTTATCATCAAACATTTATATAATGATATCACTGTGATTCCTCTACAACAATAACTGTTATTTTTCTCACAATGAGAACATTCACCTTGTACCGAATATGACGAATAACGAATGGAAGATCCAAGTCCATCCTTGTGCTTGAGACAATCCTATGTTATATATATTTTCATTTTCATCTTCCTGTGAGAGAAGATGGTGAAGATGCCTCGTCCCGTTTTCATTCTTGTAAGAAAACCTCAGCATTTTGCCTTCGCGTCGTAATGTCTTTGTGTACATGTACTTTCGCCCGAAAGAGGAGACGGTGCTACGTAGCGTAATGTTTAAGTTCCCCAGTGTTGTTATCCATGTACATTATCTTGTGTGTATGTGTGGAATTTTTTATCATAATTTTTTCATGTTTTTTTTTTTTTTTTTTTTTTATCGAATTGCGAAAGGTATTTCAATACGTCGTAGAGGCAACCAAGATCAACTATTGTTAAATCTGATTGTGTTGCCAATTACAGTTTTTTTTTTAACATCAGCTGACGGTGTTATCTGCATGTGCATGTGAGGTGTCTTGAAGTACGCGAACACACTGGAAAGATTGACATTATTTTTTTGTATATATTTCCGATTGATAAGATTTAGTCTCAGACTCACTCAGACTCTCTCTCTCTCTCTCTCTCTCTCTCTCTCTCTCTCTCTCTCTCTCTCTCTCTCTCTCTCTCTCTCTCTCTCTCTCTATCTATTATTCTCTTTCATTTTGTTCTTTTACAGTGCATACAGAACAAGCTATCCTTTAAAAAAAAATTGAAGATCCAATCATTTTTTTTCTCTAAACATTTCTAGTTTAGTGTTATCTAGTCACCTTGCCTTTTGACACACGGAAAGAAAATTGAAAAGATTACTCTACCAAAGACACTCAAAAACTTCCTTCCAGCTTAAAGTGGGAAATCTGAGTGCTAAATGACGGCTCAACGTTTTGTAGTTGGACAAGAGATGTACGAAAAGAAATTAAAAACAAAAAAGAAATCAGGCCTTCTCTTTTATTTAGATAAACAAGGGAGATAGATATTATTGCCAAGAAAGATCAGTTTAAAAAGGTCAGATCGTAATTCAGTCTGAATAGGGATTGTAAGAATGAGTGTTTAGTCAGCCAAAAATGGTAAAAAGAAAGAAAATGAAATAGTAGTTGGAAGACGGTTTTCCCACACGGAACGCAAAAGGAGGAAAGAGGGAAATGTTAGTGTTGTCATACACGAAGTTGTCAGTAATGGATCAGCCACTTTTTTTTTTTTTTTTTTCCTAACGTAGATGAAATTTTTATTTATTCATTTTATAATTATCTTTTTTTTTCTTAATTTCGTAACGTAGATGAAAATGGCTGTATTGATTTTTTTTCCGGTCTGTTGGTTTGTGAAAAAAAATCTTGTAAAAACGTTGAATGTATTATTGTATTTACTTTCGTGTACAGAATAAAGTTTGAACCCGTGTCGATTAGGAAATGAATTTTGGTTTGAACTCAAATCCGGTAATCGATTTTTTTGTTATTCGTCACAGCATAATAATTATTTGGAAGGTTTACTGTTTGTCCAAAAACGCACGTTCGTTATATGTGACAAATCATGCAACGTTTGCATACATTGCTCTCATTAAGACATCATCAGTCACTGAACTTTATCGACAGTTTGGTTAATTATCCTTTACCTCGTTCTTCTCGCAGAAAGAAGATGCTGCTCAACAGAATCCATTTTCCTAACTATATCTTGTTGCATCACTGCTCTGAATTTACGGTTGAGAATTGCGTAACGGTGTTGGTTTCACACACACGCACACGCACACACTCACACTCACACGCACACACACACTCATACTCATACTCATACTCATACTCACACTCACACACACACTCACACTCACACGCACACTCACACACACACACACACACACACACACACACACACACACACACACACACACACACACACACACACACACACACACACACACACACACACACACACACACACACACACACACACACACACACACACACACACACACACACACACACACACACACACACACACATACATACATTCAAGTTACCGCCAGATTTCTATCAAGTATTCATTATCGTGTAGTTAAGAAAAAAAAAATGACTATTATATTTTTTCACGGCGTTACGTGTGCATTAAGATCATAAACTGTCGTTATATTTTGCATAGATTATTTGCATAGATATACAGTCTAATATCACTTTTCTTGCGATTCCGTCCAATGGTTTAAATAGACATTTAGAGTGTTCGAAGATAATCATCTAATCTTGATCTTAAAAAAAAAACTCCGTTGTTATTGTTGTCACGCATTAAAAAAATAAATAAATAAATTTATACATTCATACAGTCAACTATTTCCTTAGCCAATAGGTTTAAAACATTGTGATAAAGATAAAATATTTGTATCCAGCCACAGGTCAATTCTACTTATATATATTATATATAATATATATATATATATATATATATATATATATATATATATATATATATATATATATATATATATATATTATATATATATATATAATATATACATAACCGATTTCAAATACCAAATTGATATTCTCTCTCTCTGAGGATATATTTTGCACCTAGAAGTTTCCGATACCTTTTCTGGTATCTAGTGGTACCATTTATGTATCTCTCACAAACAGAGTAAAATACACTGTAAGGCCTTTTTTATATAGGTGAACGGTAATGCACTTTTAAGGGTGGTTCCTTTTTATCACATGTTACGGAATTCCGGAATTTGACAAACGGAAAAGAAATGAACAAATAACATGGACGACCACTGCAATTTCAATGAAAATCGTAAAAGAAATGAACAAGAACATGGACGACCACTGCAATTTCACTGAAAATCGTAAACAAAAAAATCATTCGGAAGCTATGGTACCGCAGGTAGAAGGGAAAGAAAGGAATCAAAGAAGGATAAGAAGAAGAATAAGGAGGAGGAGAGGAGGAAAAGAGAAAAAAGGGAAAGGGATATATAAGAACCAGTTCACCAATGCGACACCTAGTCCACCCTTCAATCCCAACAGACTTCGACTCCATTTAATGTAATACTCAGATGCCATTGATGATCAACTTCTCAACTTGAGTCACTTCACGGGTTCAGTTGCGTCGGATGAGGTTCCATTCGCGAAGGAAATCAACGACTTTGGTCATGGATTGTCGCTTTCTTTTTTAAATATTGAATGATTAACATGTATATATATATATATATATATATATATATATATATATATATATATATATATATATATTGTGTGTGTGTGTGTGTGTGTGTGTGTGTATATATATGATATATATATAATATATATATATATATATATATATATATATATATATAATATATATATATATATAGTATGTATATATGTATATATATTAATATATATATATAATATATATATATATATATATATATATATATATATATATATATATATATATATATCCATTTGGAAGGAACTGACGAACTTTTTTTTTATTTATTTTTTTTAGAACGATCTTTCATTATTGTTCATCCCAAGTCTTCCAATAAACAAAAAAAAAATAAAAAGCAAGAAAATAACATTGAATCGAAACCGAACATAGAACTGTGACTCCGATACATACTTGAGGGCAAATAACAATGAGGCGTATTACGTAGACCGTCAATGATAACGTTGTGTCTGCTTCTCCTGGTCTGCCTCTGGGCAAGAAATTCAGTGTCTCAGATTTTATGTTTTATATGTAAAATATGTGCCACAATAAAGCTAGTTAAATCAGCTGTCGTTTTATTTTCTGTAGAGTCCAAAGCCAAGGTCTCGACGGGAGGTAGAATATCATATTTAATGCCTATAAATCATGTAGGTTCCCCGTGGACCAATGAGGAAAGTTTAAAATGAAGAGTATTTTTTTTAAACATTGCCTGAATATTAGGAAACCAAACCTTATCAAAAATACAAAGGAAAAGGTCGAACTTTCCGAAAAAAAAGGTGCATAAAAGCGTAAATATAGCATAAAGTGTGATGTCTAGAGGATATGGTATGATGTGTATCATACTTCTTTCCTCAGCGAATACATTTTGTAATAGATAATAGTCAATCGATATATATACAGTATATATATTT